AACATAGTGGTCCCTAAATGTAGGAAAGCATGCTCTCTATCTTGCTCACGAAAAGAGAAACGTAAACTAGAATGACCCTGAAATGTCGTTTCTCCCAGCCCTCGCTTCAGGAAACGTAAAAAAAAAAAAAAAAAAAAAAGCATAACATGACACTGGGGATGCAGACATTCTCTCTCGCCCACTGGCTGGTGGGGCCCAAAATGCAGCCGTGTCTGTGGACGGCAATGTTGAAATCTCTATGGAAACGACCCGCAACAATCAGGCTGTCCAACCTCAGAGGGAAGGCAGGGGAGGGTGGAGGTAAGGGGGAGAGATCAGCCAAAGGACTTGTGTGCATGCATATGAGCCTGACCAATGGACACAGACACCAGGGGGGTGAGGGCATGGGTGGGGGTGAGGGGTATGGGGGTATAAGGACACACATGTAATACCTGAATCAATAAAGAAAACTAATAATAAACAAAAAGAAAAGGAATAAAGGATAAAACAGAACAAAACAACAGCCCTAACCAGTTTGGCTCAGTGGACAGAGCGTCGGCTGGGGACTCCAGGGCCCCAGGTTCGATTCTGGTCAAGGGCATAAGCCTGGGTTGTGGGCTCAGTCCAACGTGCAGGAGGCAGCCAATCCATGATTCCCTCTCATCATTGTTTCTATCTCTTCCTCTCCTTTCCTCTCTGAAATCAATAAAAATATATATATATTTTTAAAAAGAACAAAACTAGATGCTCACTTAAGAATATTTAAAAAAAAAACAAACAAAAACAAACAAAAAAAAACGCTAAAAACAACACAGGCACATGTCCTTTACATCAGCAGTTCCACCTCAGGGGAACGAACCCACCAACCTACACCCCAGTGGGATGGCTGATGATCCAGGGGATGGATTAGCCCTGGGCTGAAAACACTCCACAGTCTGGAACAGGTTAAATAAATTCAATCCCAGCTGAAACCGGTGTGGCTCAGTGGATAGAGCTTCAGCCTGAAGACTGAAAGGCCCCAGGTTCGATTCCGGTCAAGGGCATGTACCTTGGTGGCGGGCACATCCCCAGTATTGGGGCGTGCAGGAAGCAGCTGGTCGATGTTTCGCTCTCATCAAAGTTTCTAACTCTCTATCCCTCTCTGTAAAAAAAAATCAGTAAAATATATTTTCAAACATAAATAAATAAATAAGTAAATGCAATTCCACGCTGGCCTGGTTCTATGTATTATCATCTGTTCATAAAGAAGCTGTGAAAGGACCCGGAATAATTACAGCGTGTGCATGTGCAATTACAACATTCTAAATACTCAACAGCCGAAAGGAATTGGGAGGCATGAAAATCTGGTGGGTGGCACACCACACACACACACACACACACACACACACACAGAGAGAGAGAGAGAGAGAGAGAGAGAGAGAGAGAGAGAGAGAGAGAGAGAGAGAGGAAGCCTGCTCACTGAATACTGTCTATTTCCCTCGCCTTTTATTACATAAGCAGGCCCGTGGGGAGAGGGTTTTGTAAGCTGTACAAATAAGGAGCATAAATGCCTCATCACTTTGGTGTATGCCTGGACATAATATGCTAGTGCATGCCAACTTACTTAATTGAAAAATAAGTTAAAACCATTGTATTCACCATCTACAACCTGAAGCCTTGTCAGGAGACAAGCCCCGGGGCGCCTCCCGGCTCCCCTCTCCCCTCCCCCTCAGGCCCTCACCTCGGTCCGCTCCCCACCCGCCCTCGCGCGCCCCCTAGGGGACCCCGCCAGCAGCGCCCTCCTCGCGGAGCGCAGGCGCAGACCCCCGGGCAGGGCAGGTCTGGGCACGGCGGCGCGCACGGCGCATGCGCCGCGGGTCTGAGCGCGAAGTCTAAAAGCCGGCGGCTCAGTCCCGCCCGGGCGGCGGCGGCGGCGGACGAGGTGAGCGCGCGCGGCGGCCGCTCCGGGCCGCGAGGAGCCGCGGGGACCGCGCGCAGGGCCGGGCTCCGGGGCCGCGGAGGCGCCTCCGGGGCGGACGGTCCTCCAGGGGCGCGCATGGGGGACAGGGGAGGGGGCACCCTCAGGGGCGGGGGGCACCGGGGGGCATCGGGGGCAAGACGAGAGGGGTCCCCCTGAGGGGGCGCATGGGGACGGGGGGACCGGGTTCCCCTGAGGGCGCATGGGGACGGGGGGACCGGGTCTGAGGGGGCGCATGGGGACGGGGGGACCGGGTCCCCTGAGGGCGCATGGGGACGGGGGGACCGGGTCTGAGGGGACCGGGTTCCCCTGAGGGCGCATGGGGACGGGGGGACCGGGTCTGAGGGGGCGCATGGGGATGGGGGGACCGGGTCCCCCTGAGGGGGCAGGGGGACAGGGGGGACCGGGTCTGAGGGGGCGCATGGGGACGGGGGGATCCGGTCCCCTGAGGGGGCGCAGGGGAACAGGGGGGATCCGGTCCCCCTGAGGGGGCGCATGGGGACGGGGGGGACCGGGTCCCCCTGACGGGGCGCATGGAGACAGGGGGGACCGGGTCTCTGAGGGGGCGCAGGGGGACGGGGGGACCGGGTCCCCCTGACGGGGCGCATGGAGACAGGGGGGACCGGGTCTCTGAGGGGGCGCAGGGGGACGGGGGGACCGGGTCCCCCTGAGGGGGCGCATGGGGACGGGGGGACCGGGTCTGAGGGGGCATGGGGACGGGGGGATCCGGTCCCCCTGAGGGGGCGCAGGGGGACGGGGTGAGGTGGGTCCCCCTGAGGGGGCGCATGGGGACGGGGGTGACCGGGTTCCCCTGAGGGGGCGCAGGGGGACAGGGGGGACCGGGTCTCTGAGGGGGCGCAGGGGGACGGGGACACGCGGATGCTGAGGGGCAGGGCGGGTGTGGCGGGGCAGGGCTTGCCCAGGTCCCTGTGGGGCTGAGGAGACCGGAGCCCTGGCCACGAGGGCGCAGAGCCCCCTCTCCTCCCCGCAGGCCACTTCCCCTGAGGGTCCACCTGCTCAGCCCGAACCCGTGACCCAACGTCTTCATCCCTGACCCGACCCCTTCATCTCCTGACCTGAACCCCTTCCCCTGACCACACCCGCACTCTCTGGCTCCAGCCAGGACATTTCTTTGCCCGTCCCCGTCCCCTCCTTGCTCCTGGACACACCTCATCCTCCACTCCGTCCCCTCCACCTCAGCCCCTCATTCCCTCCACCTCAGCCTCCTGTCCCCTCCACCTCAGCTGCCCCCCCTTTACCTCAGCCCCTCACCCCCTCCACCTCAGCGCCTCGTTCCCCTCCCTGCCCCACTCATCCTCTCTCTATCCTTCCCCGTCCCCTTCCCTTCTCCTCCCCCTCCCCCTTCCCCATGATGAGAGAGAATCATGGATCAGCTGCCTCCTGCACGCCCCCTGCTGGGGATCAAGCCCACAACCCAGTGGGCATGTGCCCTTGACTGGAATCAAACCTTGACCTCCTGGTTCCTAGGTCCATGCCCAACCACCGAGCCACACCCACCAGGCCACTATTTTGACTTTTAACACCTTAGACCCATTTTGCCTGATTTTGACCGTTATAAAAACAGAATTGTTGAATGTGGGCTTTTTTTAAATTTTTAAAAAAAGTATGCACTCTTCTCACAGCCTACCACGGACTAGTTTCCAGCTAAAGAATTCAAATGAAATGCTCAAATAAAGCCATAAACTATAATTGAATATTCAATGGGTCTCTGACTGGATGGTAATCAGTTGTACTTTAAAATATTTTAAAATTCTACGAAGACGAGAAGGTGTGGCATGGCTGAAAAAATTTTAAAGCAGATAGGACGAGGAATACCATGTTTCCTTTGCTCAAGAGCAGGTTACACCCATGTTCTCAACTGTTTCTAGTCCCTGTGCCGTTCTATTGTGGCTTTGTCTCCTCTTGAACACTTAACTATTGTCTGATTGTTTTTTTTCATTTTGAGCATTCTGAAAGATGTAGAGTGATATCTCATTGGCTTTTAATTCCTATTTCTCTGCTAACTAATGAAGTTGAGCCCTGTTTCATAGGATATTTTGGCCATTTTTTCCTCAAATCTCTTAACCTTTTGCCCTTATTTTATCTGCTCTTTTCTTACTAATTTGTACGGGTACTTTGTATATTTTGCATATGAATTCAGGGTGCATGTATGACAAAGTTCTTTCTTCATCCTATATAATGCATAGTTGTTTAACCCCTCTCTCTCTCTCTCTCTTTCTCTCTCTCTCTCTCTCTCTCTCTCTCTATATATATATATATATATATATATATATATATATATATATTATTGATTTTTTTACAGAGAGGAAGAGAGAATGATAGAGAATTAGAAACATCGATGAGAGAGAAACATCCATCAGCTGCCTCCTGCACACCCCCTACTGGGAATGTGCCCACAACCAAGGGCACATGCCCTTGACCGGAATGGAACCTGAGACCTTTCAGTCCACAAGCCGACGCTCTATCCACTGAGCCAAACCGGTTTTGGGCATCACTTATATTTCGAAATGAAATTCTTCCCCTGCTCATCAGATTTGTCCCGTTCCTTGTGGTTTCGGAATCCAAGTCATTTTTCCGTTCAGTGCCCTTTCTGAAATATCTCTAGCCTGTGCCTGTGGCTTTCCTAGACCCGGGAGTGGGGTGGAGGCAGCGTGATGCCTGTAGACGTGCAGGTCTCTGTGGCTATATATTTGTGTGAAATGAGCTAGCTTCCGTTGCCTCCGATCTGCTCTTCCCGCCCCGTCCAATCCTAGCTACGCAGGCTGTTTGCAAGTCTGTCATTCCCGGCGTTTCTGTAATCCTCTCTTCCTCTGAGACAGATCTTCTACTACAGCCGTGTGTTCCGGAGCCACCTGCCTTTTCCAAGTATCTTTATCCTGCGAAGGACCACGCTGTGAAGATGGCACACAGGACGAGCCGTAGGGACCTCTTGAGGAACCCGCGGCTGTTCTGTAGGCCTGGCCCGGAAAGCATCCCCAGGCGAAACCCGGGGGTTCTGAAAATCTCTCACGAGAAGCTCAGGTATGTCCAGTCCCTCTCGGTGATGGGGACGCAGCAGACTCTGAGCCAGATCCGGGAGCTCTGCGGCCAGCGGCTGCAGACCCACACCAAGGAGCAGATGATGGAGCTGCTGGTGCTGGAGCGGTTTCTGGGCACCCTGCCCGAGGAGGTGCGGAAGTGGGTGAGGTCCAGACGGCCCAAGAACAGCAGGGAGGCAGGGATCCTGGTGGCCAACCTGATCCAAGCGTGCCGGGAGGAAGGTGAGCCGGGAAGGCGGCCGTTTGCCACTTCCACTTACGGAGCGTCTGCTGTGTGCCTGGCGTGTTATCGGGGTGAACAAAGATGTGTGGGGTGGAGGAGAGGGTGCGCTGCATCATCCTGGCTAACCTGCCTTCTACGACGTGGAAGACATATTGTGTTTGGATTTTGCTTTTAGTATTATTTCTCTGAGATTGCCCCTCTCTCCAGCTCTGTCCTCCTCTCCCTCCATTCCTTCCTTCCTTCCTTCCTTCCTTCCTTCCTTCCTTCCTTCCTTCCTTCCTTCCTTCCTTCCTTCCTTCCTTCCTAACAATCTAGCCCCGGAGGCACCTGCTCTTTTTATTATTTATTTTTTTTATTTTATTGATTTTTTTACAGAGAGGAAGGGAGAGGGATAGAGAGCTAGAAACATCGATGAGAGAAACACATCCATCAGCTGCCTCCTGCACACCCCCTACTGGGGATGTACCCGCAACCAAGGTACACGCCCTTGACCTGAATCAAGCCTGGGACCCTTGAGTCTGCAGGCCGATGCTCTATCCACAGAGCCATTGATCACCGCCTCAGGTATATGCATAATAACATGTACATGTATAATAATCTGGCCACTCGATGTATTAGTATCTCAAGTGGGCACCAAAAGTATTCTAGACTTTTGCCGGAGACCAACCACCTATTTGCCCTGAGCTTTCTATCAGCCCGTGCAAAGGGGAAATCTGATCAGGTGCACGATTAATAGTATCTTTGATATCAAACAAATGAGGTGCTCAAGAGAAGTACACTGAGTGGCCAGATGATTATGCGCTCAGAGATCATCATCATCTGGCCACTCTGTGTGTGTGTGTGTGTGTGTGTGTGTGTGTGTCTTAATAAGAGCTGCCGTTGCTTTTCATGCCTACCATGTGCTTTACCCATGTAACGTTAATCCTTACAAGAGTCTTTAGAAGTATCAGCACGTACGGTTTAGGAATGGACTCCCTGGTGATTCTGAGCTTATCGTGGCACCGGGAACCGTGAACACAGAGGGAACTTCTGTTTTATTTGGGAGGCAATCGGGGAGCCATCCGAGGACTTAGGCCTGGGAAGTGACTGGAGAGCTTGAAGGAGGTGCTGAATTGAACTGATAAAGCAATTCCTACGGTTCTCCTCTTGTCACGGGACGCCCAGAGCTGCCCTTCACCGCCCAGGGCAGGCCAGGGTGCTGTGGGCGGGGCAGGCCCCTCGCTCTGTCTAATTGCTTCCATGGTCATTTCCTCTGCCCTTCTAGATTTCCCCGCTCAGAACCCCGTCCTTGCCGAAGAAGATCACCAGAAGAGGGAACCGACCACGCCAGCCGCCTTGCCCCCTGCTGGGCACGAGGTGAGCCGGGCTTGCTTCTGATTCGGTTCTTACCCAATACGGAGACCTCCCTTTCCCAGTTCCTGAAGTTTCCCCTTTCCTAGCCAGTGAGCCACACCCTCATTTCCCTCACGCTTTCATCCTATCTGATACAGAGGGACTGTGCTGATGGACCCTCACGCTGTCGCAAAGCTGGTGGCGCCCACAGCCAATAAGGAGGGGATATAAGATGTTTCTGACACTCTCTCCGTCTCCCTGCCACTCTGTAAAAAAATAAATTTTAAAAAATCAATAAAATTTTTTTTTTTTTAAAAAGACAGAGGCTGCCGAAACCGGTTTGGCTCAGTGGATAGAGCGTCGGCCTGCGGACTGAAAGGTCCCAGGTTCGATTCCGGTCAAGGGCATGTACCTTGGTTGCGGGCACATCCCCAGTAGGGGGTGTGCAAGAGGCAGCTGATCGATGATTCTCTCTCATCGATGTTTCTAACTCTATCCCTTTCTCTTCCTCTCTGTAAAAAATCAATAAAATATATATTTTTTTTAAAAAGAGTTCCTTGAGATTGAGGAAACTTTCTTAAAAAAAAAAAAAAAAAAAAAAAAGACAGAGGCACGTTGCCGGTCCCTGTCACCTGCTGCTCTGCTCCTCCGCTTCCCGCTCAGTCCTCTCTCATCCGCTCTCCCCCCACCTTCCCGCTCGCATCGTTTCTGGCTGTCCTTTCAGGAGCTGGTGACTTTCCAGGACGTGTTTGTGCACTTCAGCCCGGAGGAGCTGAGCTCACTGAGTGCCGCTCAGCGGCGCCTCCACCAGGAGGTGATGCGGGAGAACTACCAGAGCCTGGTCTCCCTGGGTGAGTCCGCCGCCCCCGGGCCCTGGCCTGGTCTCCGCCCTCGGTTCCCCATGATGAAGGCAGTGGTTCCGAGCTCGTCTCTGTCCCACCGCGAGTCAGCGAGTCTCAGCCCAGACCAGAGACAGTATGGCCATGTCAAGTTCATTGTTACAACTTGGCTAACACTTTTCAAGCAGTCATCATACGTCAAGCATCAATCTAAGAACTTCATTTTTTAATTTTATTTATTTTATTGATTTTTTTACAGAGAGGAAGGAAAAGGGATAGAGAGTTAGAAACATCGATGAGAGAGAAACATCCATCAGCTGCCTCCTGCACACCTCCTACTGGGGACGTGCCCGCAACCAAGGTACATGCCCTTGACTGGAATCCAACCTGGGACCCTTCAGTCTGCAGGCCAACGCTCTATCCACCGAGCCACACTGGCCAGAGCCACCGAAGCCTTTTTAGATAACCAAAAAATGAAATAAAATGTCTCCAGACATTGCCAGAAGCGTCCTGGGGACATATGTGTGAGAAACAGCCTCCGTTTTCCTTCTGCGTGAATTTGCACCTTTTAAAAAAATTTCTTTATTGATTTAAGTTATCACATATTTGTCCTCAACCCCCCATTCCCATCCCCCTCCCCCACTCATGCTCTCACCCCCCTATTGTCCTTGACCACTGGTTAGGCTCCTATGTGTGCACACAAGTCCTTTGGCTGATCTCTCCCTTTTACCCCCACCCTCCCTCTGAGGTCCAACAGTCTGACCCATGGCTCCTTATCTCTGGGTCTGTTCTTGTTCATCCAACTAAGTTGTTCAACATTTCCCCTAGATGAGTGAGATCATGTCCTACTGGAAATATTAGAATCAAAAATGAGGCAAGCTGCTGAGACCGGTGTGGCTCAGTGGATAGAGCGTTGGCCTGTGGACTGAAAGGTCCCAGGTTCGATTCCGGTCAAGGGCACGTACCTTGGTTGCGGGCACATCCCAGTGAGGGGTATACAGGAGGCAGCTGATCGATGATTCTTCTCATAGATGTTTCTAACTCCCTATCCCTCTCTCTTCCTCTCTGTAAAACATCAATAAAATATATTTCTTTAAAAAATGAGGCAATCGCCAAGACCGGTTTGGCTCAATGGATAGAGCGTCGGCTTGGGGACTGAAGGGTCCCGGGTTCGATTCCGGTCAAGGGCATGTACCTTGGTTGCGGGCACATCCCAGTGAGGGGTATACAGGAGGCAGCTGATCGATGATTCTTCTCATAGATGTTTCTAACTCCCTATCCCTCTCTCTTCCTCTCTGTAAAACATCAATAAAATATATTTCTTTAAAAAATGAGGCAATCGCCAAGACCGGTTTGGCTCAATGGATAGAGCGTCGGCTTGGGGACTGAAGGGTCCCGGGTTCGATTCCGGTCAAGGGCATGTACCTTGGTTGCGGGCACATCCGAAGTAGGGGGTGTGCAAGAGGCAGCTGATCGATGACTCTCTCTCATCGATGTTTCTAACTCTCTATCTCTCTCCCCTCCTCTCTGTACAAAATCAATAAAATATATTTCTTTAAAAAATGAGGCAAGCCATAATTGTTATGCTGAAAGGCAGATAACTCCGTCTGTAGTGAGCTTCTTTCTGGGCCACCCGTTCTTTTTTAGACCCAATTTCAATGTACAACAGTTCCTTCTGTGTACGCGTCAGCCGTGATATTTCCGTTCTGGACGGTGGGCACATGGTGGCGATGCAGGTCCCACCCTCTCTGGTTGGGTCCTGGGCGCCTTCCTTATTGTCACGGGGCCATTAGCGTCCCGGCTGGGAGGTGCCTGAGTTCAAACAGAGCCCCTAAGTCCCGAGTCTCCCTCTGCCTCAGGGTACCACTTCCCCAGACCCGACATCGACATCATCGCGCAGCTGGAAGAGGAGGAGTTCTGGGCGATGGAGGAAGGCAGCGACGCAGAGACAGCCCCAGGTGAGGGGGAGGGACAAGCCGTGGAGACGGAAATCCTGGGACAGCAGCAGCCCCAATCAGTCTGGAGGGGGAGGTGGGTGCTGGGGGGCGGGACAGGGCCTGTCAGTCAGGGAGCCTTCTTCAAAGCCCGCTCAGGTCAGGGACAAAACGGGTCCGTGCTGTCCCCTCGGGCTCCAGAGGCGTCCGGTCCCCTGCATGCTCGGCCCTTCCTCTCCTCCCCTCTCTGACGCTCACTCCTCTCTCCGCGTTGCCCAGCTCCTGGGAGGTCTCCTTCCCTTTTCTCTGGGTCCCCCTAATCCCCTCCCCGCGCCCTTCGTTGGTCTGTGCCTTCGCTCTGGCCGCTGGAGGTCACAGGTCTGTCCTGGTGAACCGAGAGGACACACGCGGGGAGGCGGCCTCTGTCCGGCTGCCTCCGATTTCTCTAGGCCCCGCCCCCGGCTTGTGGAGGAGGCTCCCTCCTCCCGTAACCCACAGTCTGGTTCCCATCCCCCACCGCGCCTCCACGTCCTCTCCCTCACTGTACAGCTTCCCCCGCCGGCCCCTACTGACATCCTTTTATAATTGGAGAGGAAGAACCTTCCAGACTTTATAGATGCAATGGGCATTCCAACTTAAAGCGTGCCTTTGACATGTACGTTTTTTTTTACATGTACGTGAAACGTTTTATGGTTTTGTTTTGTTTTGTTTTAAAATATATTTTATTGTTTTTTGTTTGTTTGTTTTTTGCAGAGAGGAAGGGAGAGAGATAGAGAGTTAGAAACATCGACCAGCTGCCTCCTGCACACCCCCTAATGGGGATGTGCCCACAACCCATGCACATGCCCTTGACCAGAATTGAACCTGGGACCTTTCCGTCCACAGGCTGACGCTCTATCCACTGAGCCACACCGGCTAGGGCGTGAAACTTTTTTTGCACGCATTCCACAGAAACTCATCCGGCCACGGGGCAGAGCCAGCACAAAGACGACTTACAAGCAGAGGGAAGCTTTTCCCACAGAAGCTCTGGACACAGCCTCCTCCTTTTCCACGGGTCCATTTGGGGTCACGCCCCCTCCCGGAACCATGAACACAGGCTTCCCGCCTCTTCCTGGGTGGGCGGAGAAGTGGGTGCCCCCGTCCCCCCACCCCCAGCAAAAAAAAAAAAAATGCAGGGACCACCAAGGGCACTCCTCTGCCTGCCTCCCTATCTCCCCCACGGCCTTCTCATCTTTCACTTGTTCATTCTTTCTCTGATGCTCTCAATCATTCCACGGGTCCTTCTTGAGCCTCTGTGGTGGGCGAGGCACTGTCCCAGGCTCTGAGAATCCAGCAGCAGACAAAACACACCGAATCCCACCCGTGGGGCGGGCGGTTTAGTGGGGGGTGGGAGGTGACAGACACATAGACAAGTCATAGAGGGACGGGTGTGAGCAGCCAGAGCAACGACATGGGGAGGCTGCTTAAGGCGGGCCAGTCAGGAAAGAACTCCCGAGGAAGGTGTGAATGAGGGAGGTGTGAATGAGGGAGGTGTGAATGAGGGAGCCAGGAGGTCATGTGAGGGAGAGGGAACAGCAGATACGGCAGCCCTGTGGTTGGAAAGTCAGGATTTGAAGTTCCAAAAACGGGGGAAAGGGGGGGGGGAGAGGGAGATGGTCTGAGTGAAGCAGTGGGGGGTGTAGGAGGTGAGGTTGTAGAGACAGATGCTGGCCAGCCCACATAGGGATTGACTAAGGTCGTGGTCGGCAAACTGAGGCTCGAGAGCCACATGCGGCTTTTTGGACCCTTGAGTTTTTAGCAAAAGCCAGCTTAGGAGGGCCCTGATCAAGCTAATAACCATGTACCTACCTATAGAGTTTAAGTCTAAAAAATGCGGCTCTCCAAAGAAATGTCAATCGTTGTCCTGTTGATATTTGGCTCTGCTGGCTCATGAGGCTGGCCGCCACGGGGTTGAGGGATGTGGATTCCGTTCAAAGTTATCGAGGTGGGTAAGGCATTGGAAGGTTTCGAGCCAGGGAAGGAGGTAGCCTTATTGACAGCTTAGAACGGTGCTGTCCGGCGTGGCGGCCACCAGCCATGTGTAGCTACTCATCAAACGGACACCCATCCGCATTACATAAAACTTAAGATTTAGTCCTGGCTCCCGGCGATCAAATGTCAAGTGCGCATTCGCTGCACGTGGCCTGAGGCTACTGTGTCAGAGAGCAGAAACAGACGTTGACATGATCCCCGGGCGTTCTATTGCGCAATTCCGTTCTAGAAAGATCCCTCCGGCTGTTCTCTGGAAAACGGGCTTTAGAAAGACCAGCAGAGCACCGGGTAGGCAGGCTCCAGCCGGCGGAGGCTGGGGCCGTGGCGTTAGAGAGACATTGGCCTGCCGGTACAGCAGCAGGGCGAGGAGACAGCAGAAGGCTCAGGCCTTCTCGCTCACAGACCCTTTCCCCCATCAACTCCACGGGGGCGGGTCCAGCTACCCTCCCCCTTGTCTTCCCCGTCTGTCTCCTCGCTCTGCTGCTTCCTCCCCGCTCCGCTCCTGGGGGGGCGGCGTTGACTTGTCTGCGGGGCCGGGCCGGGCCGGGCCGCCACCTCCGTGTCTCTCCCGAACTACAGCCTTCTTACACGTGATCTCCTCGGCCTCAGGTTCTTCCCCATCCCGGGAGTTGCCTTGATCAAGCCCGCCCTTTGGACCAGCCTCCTCCTCCTTCCTCCAAAGAACACCCACGCGGTTAAAGCAAAAGACTTTCTGTTGCCAGCCCCTCCCTCCCCGATCTCCGCGAGACGAATCCTGTTCCGGTCAGGGCCCCTTCTCCCTGTGATGATGGTGATGGTGATGATGATGGTGGTGATGATGGTGGTGATGATGATGGTGGTGATGATGATGGTGATGTGTCTGTGAGTCCAGATAGTCGAGGACCTTCTGCGTTTCTTTTAGATGGGGAGACGGGACCCGAGGCCCAAGAGCCACCCCCAGAGCCGCACCCACCCGTGGAAGAGCCGCACCCGCCTTTGGAAGAGCCGCACCCGGCGGGGGCAGAAGCGGAGGGAGCGGAAGGCCCGGAAGCAGGCAACCCCCAGCCTGGAGGGCCCCCAGGAGAGGCTGTTCGTCCCGACGACCCCCTGGATTTGTACCGGGCCCGCGAGCGGACACCTCCGCGCCAGGTCGCGCTGAGGGAGCCCGAGGCCCTCGCTCGGGAAAGGACCCCTGACCGTGACGGATCGGAGAGACATGCAACTCTCGCGGGGCCCCCAGAGGGTCCCCGGGAAGGGGGTCCCGCTCCTGGGGCTCCCCCCAGCCCCCCGTCGCCGGCCCGCCAGCCTTCCGGCGCCGCAATGCACACGTGCGAAGTTTGCCTGAGCTCCTTCTGCTCCCGAGAGGCCCTGCGGAGGCATGAACGCATGGACCACCGGAGGAGGCCCTACTGGGAAGGCTTCGTCCTGGTGCCCTGCCTCAGCCGACCCGCCCCCGGCGATCTTCCTTCTGCTCCGGGCAACCCGCCGCCCGTGTTCCCGAATGTCCTCCGGATGCGAGCCGCCCCCGCCGCCGCCGCCCCCGCGGCCAACGACCACCACGAGTGTGTCCACTGCGGCCGGGTCTTCGTCCAGGACGCGCTCCTCCGCCAGCACCTCGAGACCCACCGGGTGGTGATGGCCCTGCCGCCGCCGCCGGCCCCGCCCCGCCGCCGCCGCGGGACACACCTCATCCGCTACCAGCAGGCGGCGCACGGCCACGGCCACGGCCACAGCCACGAGGCGGGGGGCCCGGCCCACCAGTGCAGCGACTGCAGCAGAGCCTTCCCCCAGAGCTCGCACCTCGTCTCGCACTACCGCACCCACGCCCACGAGCGGCCCTTCCAGTGCCGCCTGTGCGGGAGATGTTTCAGCCGGCCCTCGCAGCTCACCCGGCACTACCAGCTCCACCCTCCTCCTCCTCCTCCTTCTCCTCCTCCTTCTCCTCCTCCTCCTCCTCCTCCTCCTTCTCTTCCTCCTCCTCCTCCTCGGGAGGACCCCGGAGGGTGCAGTTGCAGCTGAAAACATTGCCACTGTGTCGCCCCGGAGAGAGACCCTCTGGGTGTGAGAACGCCTCCCGCCAGCCCTCGCCCCTTTTGGAACCACCCTGGAACTTCACCGCGGACACCAAGGCCTGAACGGGTTGCAAGAATGTGCCACGACAGCAAGCGTGTCAAACTCGGGGCCGGCGGGCCGCATGCTCGTGCACTGCATGCGCCCACCTGCCTCGAGTTTGACACGCTTGACGGACGACCACAACAGCAAAAGGAAGTTCAACGCACGCCCCCGCGGTCACACAGGCCGGAAGGGCTCACAGAATATTTGTGCTGCACAGGACAGAAGCCAGTAGATCTCACCCTTCGTTGGTGGTGTTCATAGAATCAGGAACCTTGATTTTGACAACCTGACACAAACACCCCCCCCCCCCCCACCACACACACACACAAAACTTATGACCAGCAGCAGTTGGGCTTCAGACAGACAGTCCGTGGCCTGGGTTTTATAGACGTGTTTCTATACGACATTCTCACCACACCGATGAATCAGCACAGGGCATGGTGGGAAGATTTTCCAGGCGTCTCTCTATTGATTCATCCCACAAAACTGATGCAATTGGTAATATACAGGGTGTCCCCCTTCCCTGCCCCCTGCCATCTCCCGTCCCCTCCCTTCCCCGATGCAGACATGAACTTTGTGTTTTGTTTGCTTGTTTCAATAGATTTTATTGATTTTTTTTTACAGAGAGGAAGAGTGAAGGAATAGAGAACTAGAAACATTGATGAGAGAGAAACATCGATTCAGCTGCCTCTTGCACACTCCCTACTGGAGATGTGCCCACAACCAAGGTACATGCCCTTGACCGGAATCGAACCTGGGACCCTTGAGTCCTAAGGCTGAGGCTCTCTCTATCCACTGAACCAAACCGGTTAGGGCCAGGCATGCACTTTGAGTCGGTTGCTGTGTCCCTAGCAAAGATATTTATTCCGTGTTACAGATAAAGCAAATTTGAAACCCCTATCCCCACCCCCCCACCCCCCGTCACTTGATTTCCCCTCAGTCGTCATTGCTGGAGCAGGAACCTGAATCCAGGGTTTTTTTTGTGTTTGTTTTTTTTGAGGTTTTTACTCTGGTTCTTGATGCTCAACCCATTTTTTTCCCCTTTAAATTCCTGCCACGTCCTCTCTGAAGAAAAGGCATAGCATTGTACTGCCTGTAGCATGCTCCTCATTAGTCCCACCCAGCACTGTCTCGCATCCAATCAGGAGAGGGCCCTCACAGTACTAAGGTCCAAGAGCTTTCTTAGGGTGAAATCTACCCATTTCTCTCACAAGTTAGGTTTAGATGATGATTTTCAGAGACACCAATTCGGGGAAGTATATTTTTGCTGACCACTTCCTCGTTACTGATCGCTGTGTGTGTGTGTGTGTGTGTGGTTGTTTGTTTGAAGGGTTGGGGTTTCTTTTTTTCCTTCTCTCTCTCTCTCCCTTTTTTAATTCCCATTTGAAAGCAATATTTTTGCTTTCTTGGGCTCTGGCATCAAATGCACGACCAGCCTCATCTCAAATCCTAATCCCAGGCTGGGCAAACGTCACTCCTTAGAGGCTGGAGACCCCAATTGCACTAAAAAAAATCTCTTTCGTGGCGTGTTGCTGATTCCCGAAGCCTTCCGTCACTGCCTCCCAGGGTGGTCAGACACAAAGGCACATGGACCCGGAGTCCCCGACGTGACTCTGCCTGGGAGACTGGCTGCTGCTATCGCTCTTCGCTGCCCTGCTTTTCCTCGCCCAGGCATTTCTGAAGTTGGTTTATGACGGTGGCACCCGAGTCATGACATGAAGAACAGACGTGACCAGTCAGGACCTCCCAGCCAGGCGAAGGCTTGCTACACAACCCCTGCTTTTACCTTGTCTTTGTCTTGTGAAATCTACTTTCCAAAGGGTCCTAAATCTACTCAGGCACTCATCTCAGTCATGTCATTTCTCCCTGCGTCTTTTTTTTTTTTTTTTTTTTTTGCTAAATCTACATTCTACCCTGATAACGCTTTACTTCAACGGCCTTCCCTCTATTTCCTTAAACGTCAAGACATCTTACAAAGAAAAATTTTAAATCCCCTCAAAGGGAAGACATTTTATCAGATTTCCTCTATCATCTCAGAGATGGGATGTTTTTTGTTGTTGTTGTCTGTTTGTTTTTTTGCAGTTGGCTCGTTGGAGTCCAAATCCAAACGTGGTAACCTGGTACACTGATTGCACTTGGTTGTCTGATCTCTGGGTCTCTGTTCATCTAAAGAAGTCTCATCTCAGTTTTTTTAATGCCTGGTGTGACCCCAAGGATAATGTGGAGATACACTCACCTCCTCTCCCCACCTGGTTCCTGATATGTCTGACTGTTTTAGTGCTTTTCGAATATTCAGGCTTAACATCCAGGTTTAATATTTGTACCTTTGGGTAAAAAGGTTTGCTACCCAGGTTTGATATTTTTTAAGTTTAGAAGCACTTATTTTAAATTAAATTTTATTCTAAATTGGTGTGTTTAAAAAAAAAAAGATAATATAACATGTGTCGTTTTTGAGTGTACAGTCCAGTAGTTGTTAAGTGTAGTCATGTTGTGCAATAGATTCCCGTGGACTTTCTTTGTCTTTGCAAAACTAAAACTCTCTGCCTGTTACACAGTAACTCCCCACTTCCCCCTCCCCCAAGCCCTGGTAACCGTGGTTTTTTCCTTTAAAGCTTTTTTGCGATTGTGTGAGCAGCACTTCGGGAAGAAACTGGGTCCGGTAGTGTCCTGGTGAATGCCCCCCCCCCACCCCCCTTCTCAATCTGTTTGCTTTCTGTGGCGTCCTTAAGCTTGTTCCTCTCTCCCTGCTGCCCCTGTGGGCTCCCGACTACACTGCTGTTCCTCTCGCCTCTTTCCCCACCCAGTTCCCAACCTATCAGACTGCTGGGCATTGCTCTGCTAGCCAGATGTTCTTTCTTTAGAAACACTCATGTCTTAAGCACTTTTGGCAATGCTGCAAGACACACTCCTTGAAGATTATATAAAGTAATGTTGTTTTTTTCTCTGAATGTTCGTGTTTCCCTCTCCCAGAAATACTTGCTGCTAAAAGGGGTGTAAAGTTGTCCTTTTTTATATTTTTGTTTTCTCCTCTGCACGGATCTGTATATCGTTGTAAACAAGAGAAAGGTGGTTTTATCTAGTAGTGCCCTACTGTTAACACTGTTTTTGGAAAGTTGCTTTTATTCTGCTGTATTGTGAACATCTTCTCATATCAATAAATATACCCCTTGCTTTCATCTCTCAGGTGTGGCTGTGTCTTCCGTTTGTTTCCCTCGCCTTCTGGGGCTGGCAAGGGGAGGTTGCCGATAGTTTCTCTCTCACGGATACATCGCTGCCATCATTGCACTTTCTGCTCTCTCTTGGGCCTTGGAGTTTCCCTTATCAATGTGCTCTAATGCCTGTGTGTGTGGCCGTGTTTCCTGAGGGGGTATTCCCAGGAGTGGAATTCCTGGGCCAAAAGGGACCTGTGTCTTGAAGGCCTGGAAACACTCTTGACCTCATCTTGACCCAGGTCTAAAAAGTGTGCTGATTGCCCTAACCCAGTGGTCGGCAAACTGCGGCTCTCAAGCACCATGCAGCTCTTCGGCCCCTTGAGATTTTAGCAAAAGCCAGTTTAGGAGTGCCCTAATGAAGTTAATAACAGTGTACCTAACTATAGAGTTTAAGTTGAAAAAATGTGGCTCTCAAAAGAAATTTCAATCGTCCTGTTGATATTTGGCTCTGCTGACTAATGAGGTTGCCAACCACTGCCCTGACCGGATTGGCTCAGAGGATAGAGCGTTGGCCTGCAGATTCAAGGGTCCCAGGTTCGTTTCCGGTCCAGGGCTTGTACCTTGGTTGCGGGCACATCCCCAATAGGAGGTGTGCAGGAGGCAGCTGATGGATGTTTCTCTCTCATCCATGTTTCTCTCTATCCCTCTTCCTTTCTCTCTTTAAAAAAATCAATAATACATATATAATTTTAAAAAGAACTATTTTTTAAGTGCTGATTTTTTTCCTCTAGGGAACAACTAAACTATTTAGCTCTTCTCCACATGGTACGTTGGAAATCAGCGAGCTGAACAGAGGACACCTTAGTCAGCCAAATGTGGAGTCTTTATGACACTGGCGGTCTCAGGCGAGCTGCCTCTCAAAGTCTGAGCAAAGTGCCGAAACTGGTTTGGCGTTGTGGATAGAGCCTGTGGACTGAAGGGTCCCAGGTTCGGTTCCAGTCAAGGACATGTACCTTGGTTGCAGGCACATCCCCAGTGAGGGGCGTGCAGAAGGCAGCTCGTCGATGTTTCTAACTCTCTATCTCTCTCCCTTCCTCTCTGTAAAAAAAAATCAATAATATATATATATATATTTTTTAAAGTCTGAGCAAAGCAATGTGGAGGAAGCTTTCCCTTTATACCCTCCTGGTCTCTTTGTCTCTCAAACATGGGGCTCCCGGGCCTTTTGTGGGCTTTACAAAGAGCGTTGTGTGCTGGGAGATATTTTGCAGGAAGCGTGTAGCCTTGAGCGCCGTACAGTTCCGATAACACTTGGCACAGGAGGAACCAGAGGCAGATCAGACCCTCATGTCCGCAGAGCAGCTTGCAAGGCCAGCTAATGAAGCTTATTTCCCCCTGTCATTCGAGCACACGTGTTCACAGAAGCCAAGAATAGCGGAGTGGATTCACAGAACAGAGGATCGTCGATGTTTACTGGAAAAATTTCAGACGGCCGTGGTGGGAAACCGCCCATTGTCTGCACGAGCAGTGGACCAGGAGCCGGGAAGGATGGTGACCCTGGAGCCGTGGCAAAGGTCAGAGCGATGCACCCACCGTTTAATGGAGGCCATGGAAGAAGCTAAAGCATCGTCCCCACCAGACAGTCATGTAAATCCTTACGGATGAGATTGTCTGTTACTGAAAATTGCCTGCCTCAGGGCTACGGGTGTATCCCAAATTGGCCAGAGCCCAAGCAGAGTCCTCCCTCTTGAG